CAGACTTAAATATTGTAGGGGTCATATTTCACCCCTGTGAGATCGATATAGCGACGAGATCAACTCTGCAATATCCTGACGAAATCACGACGAATCTACGAAGGCTCAGTCTGAATCTGGGCCCAAAATGACATTAAACCCATGAGCAAAATGGGCTTAATAGAATAATGGGCCTAAATTAGATTTATTGTTTAATGGGCCAGATCTATTTTATTAGCTGGCCCATTTTAGATATTTTCACTATATATAGCTCTTCATTCTRACCCAAAAAGGGGAWCGAAAATTRATTAGACAAACTCTTGTATTCTAAAACAGCTTTCTAACAGCTTAATAAAAACCTCTCTTGAGATCTTTGCGTTTGGGTGGCTTTCTATAGAACTTTACAAACCCTAAAAAGTTACTTAATCTTATTGTGAGATTCAACCSCCACAATTTGGAGCCATCTAAGGGGACAGTAAAGTTTCTTACACAACAAGCACCACCACGTTGAGATCGGAAGAGATGACCATCGACGGAAACAATAATCAGCAGCAAATCGGGGTAGACGGATCAGCAGCAAAGGATCTAGATATAAACGCGAACGTGCCCAAAGACATCGTCAATCCGCAAACAAAAGAGAACGCGCCCGCAGGAGATAACACCGCAGAGGACAAGACTATGGAAAACCCGTTGCAGCTCGCGGCGGAGATCGCGCAGATAAAGGGCATGTTCTCGGAGATTCTGAAAAGGACAACGGAGCAGGACAGCTTTAACAGCATAATGAAGAATCGGATGGATTCTTTAACCGCGGCAAGCCACGGGAAAACAGCGAGGTTTACACCCCACGCCGTGGACCGTATCGCTCCAACAGCGCTCAACTTCTCTACACCTTCGGAGGCCCAGCGGCTTCGTCGGCGTCGTCCGATCAACCTCAACACCGAACCGACTCCCGGAAGTGGTGGACGAGACATCAACAAGGGAAAATCTATAGCTGAAGGTTCGACTTTGGCGAAAGGCCCTATACTACCTGGCGGATCAGCTTCGGCCGGCAAATCAGCACCACAAGGTGGCTCGGCATCAGCTAGTAAGCCTGCACCCGC